TGTGTGTGTGTGTGTGTGTGTGTGTGTGTGTGTGTGTGTGTGTGTGTGATAGACAGAGACAGAAACCAAGTAGGGAAATAGTTAAAATCACTGTCTTAGAGAAAAAGAGAATACTATCAGGCAGAAAGGACATGGACCCAAATGAACAAGAATATGGATATGAGTCCTTATTTGGAAATTGTGATATATAATTTTTGGATTTGTTCAGAATCTTATTTGGAAAGTTTTAATTAGTGGGACCGGAGGGATAGTTATGATTTATTACTTTGATTTTGTAGGTAAAAATATTCCTTCTAATGCCATTTGCAGTTTATCAACGTTTCATGATTAGCTATGACGAAAAACAGTTTATTGGCCTGTTGCCATTCTTCCGGGGATGGAGACCTCTAAATTTAACTAGACTGGCCCATTGATGACAAAAGTCTGTTTCTAGGACTGTCCTGAAGAACTTTCCAATTTGATAAGACCTACTGGGATTTTTATTTCTCTGACACTGACTTCGGGAACCCAATCACCTTTATGGCAACATTAGTAAGAAGAGGATGGAAAAAAAAATCACTGTAGAACATATTAAGTAGATGTGTCTTCATAAATGTGTGTGGATGAAAATGAGGATTCAAATTAAAGTTCATTGTTGTTATTCAGTTGTTTTTAGTTGTTTTGTGACCCTATTTGAGATTTTCTTGGCAAGGATACTAGAGTAATTTGCCATTTCCTTCTCCAGTTCATTTTACAGATGAGGAAATTGAGGCAAACAGAGTTAAATGAGTTGTCCAGGGTCATACAGTCAGGAAGTGTCTAAGGCCAGATTTGAATTCAGGAAGAATAGTCTTCCTGACTCCTTGCCTGGCACTCTATCTGCTGTGCTACCTAGCTGCCCCAGATGAGGTTCAAGATAAAGTCCAGGTGTCTTTAAGTCCAAGAGTATTAAGTTAAAGTCCTGATGCTTATTTGGAAATTGAGGTAATAATGTAACTAACTGTTTTGACTCAAAGCTCAAATCTCAAAGTTTTAGTCATTTCAGAAAGAATATAGGCACAAGAATATTATTCATCTCTAGCTTTATAAATTAATATTGTTCTATAGGTCAATCAAAAGGTAGCATTACATAGTGGAAGGAGAGTTGATTTGGGAATCAAGAAGATCAGAGTTCAAGTCCTGTCTCTGACACATTCTGTCTTTGTGATGATGGGCAAGTCCCCCAAACAGTTTATGTGCCCAACAATGTTTTTCTTTAAAAAAGAGGGAAGAATAACCATATATTAAGCTCCTCTGTTAAGCACTGTACATATAGTGCATTGATCCTCACAACAACCCTGAGAGGTAGGTGCTATTATGATCCCCATTTTACAGTTGAGTAAACTGAGGCAGGCAGGGTAAATAAACAGCAAGTCTCTGAGGCTGGAATTGTACTCAGGTCTTCCTGACTCTAGGCTCAGCACTCTACCATTCCAACACCTGGCTGCCTCAAAGACTTTTATGACTCCTAAATGATAGATTAGTTGTTAGTATACATTGGTGAGTTTCCATAAGGGAAGCTCTTTACACTACTGAAATCTCAGGTGCTTATCCACCCACCCCCCAAAAATCAATTAATAAATGGATTAGTTTACAGTCTTCAGCATGGCTATGTCTGTATAACACTGAAATGTAGATGTTTCCATGGAAACATTATGTAGCAAACCATCTGTACCAATGACTGCATTTTTCACTTTTCATCCAAACGTGTTCACACAGGGAAGACACAGCCAGCTTACGCTGCTGAACAAACAAGCAAAGTATTATATGTCGGGCTTATTACCAATCTATCATGCCACATATATGAGGTTAGAAATAGATATAAAGAATGTGTTTTTGTAGTTAGTGTTTTTTCCCCTTTGGTGGCAAGCTAGATTAAAAGCTAAACATCTCACTAAGGAATTGCTAACTAGACAAAATGTTGTTGTTGTTTGTCTTCATTCTCAAAGAGGACCATGACATCAGGAAGATGATGCCATGATACTTGCAAATGAACTGGATTTAAGGGAAGGAGAGCTATTCAAGGTCACCAGTCTCACTTTCTCTTCCAGGGCCATCTGGGTACCAGTGGCAAGATATAGAATCCGCAAATAAAATTACTGTATGCACTTAAAGAGTACTATTCTTTGGCAGCACCATTCTTTAAAAGGTTACACTAGATACTTAAAGCTGAATATATGTAGATATCAGACTCTTGAAATAATATGAACACGTATATCCAACGTAACAATCACTAAATTTTCAGATGACAAAAACTGTGTTGGATCATAGAATTAGTATGCAAAAGTTACCCCTTAGGGTGGAGCATTTGGCCAAATGAAATAATATAATACTTAATAACGACAGCTAGAAAGTTTTACACTTGAGTCCAAAAAGTCGACTTCAGTACAAGAGCAGAAATGTGGCAAAATGGTCATTTAAAACAAGGTCTGCTAATTTTTAGTGAATTCACCAACTTGATATGAATTAAATAAGCGATACCAGTCTAATTTAAACCCTCACCACCTCTTGCCTGAACTATTGAAATAGCTTCTATTGATAAAAACCTCTTAACTCATTTCCCTACCTCAGCTCTCTCCCCTCTTCAAGCACCTCTCCTTATAGCTGCCAGTAATTTTCTTAAAATATAGGTCTGGCCATGTCATTTCCCTACAAAATAGAATGCAATGAATGATCAACTGTCACCCCTAGGATAAAAACTGTCACCCCTCTTTTTTGCATGTAAAAACCCTTCACAACTTGGCTCTGGCCTCTTTTTCCTGGCTTATTATACAATACATACTCTATGGACCAGCTAAACTGACCTTGCTTTTCCTCACAGGAAACACCCCATTCCCATTCTCTATACCCATGTGCTAATTGTTCCCCATGTCAGGAATTTACTCCCTCTTCACCTCTACTTTATAGAATCCCCTATGTCCTTCAAAAATCAACCTAAATACACATGACACCTTTCCTGATACCCACTCCCTAATATTGTCTTAAATTTATTTTCATGAGTGTACATATATACATGTGTATATATTTGCATACCCCTATACGCCCATGTATCTCTTTATGGGGGTACATGTTGGTTTCCCATTAGAATGTAAGCTCCTTGAGGATACAGATTCTTATCATTCCTGTCTTGCTATCCTCAGTACTTAATACCTGATACGTAGTAAACAAAGTTCAGTGATCTATCAATCACTTAGTATGGCTGCCAAATGACCTATTGGTTGCATTAAGAAAGAGAGAGCTTCCAGGAATAAGAAGGTCATGGTTCCACTTTGCCTTGGTCAGATCACATCAGGAATATTATATTCAGTTCTGAGTGCCACATCTTAAGATGGGCATTGATAAGCTAGAAAGCATCTAAAGGAGGGAAACTAGGACAGTGAAGTGCCTTAAGTCCATATCATGTCATATGAAGGCCTATTGAAGGAACTAGATATATTTAGTTTAGCCTGAGGAAAAGCCAAATAAAATATAATTCTATTCGGTCTTTAAGAATCTGAAATACTATTGTGTGGAAGAGGTATCAGACTGGTACTATTTGTCCTGGAGAACAGAGCTAGGACCAGTGAGTTGATACCTTAAAGTGGAAGTTCTTGGTTTGATGTCAGGAAAACCACTTAACCATTAGTTATTGGAAAATGGAATGAGGTGACTTTGGAGGCAATGAGTTCCCTCTTTGATTGGAAGCCTCCAAACAGAGTCTGATGACCATTTATCAGTTGCATTTTAATGAGATCTTTTTTCTCATGTTTTTCTCATGCACCATGGACTGAGCTCCCTTTTAACTCTAAAATCCTATAATTCTGTGTCTCTCTCAAACTGTATATGGAGTAAGGCCAGTGACCAAACAGAAGGTATTAATAGCAATATATCTTAGATGTGACTATAAAGTCAAAAACAAATACCGAATATGTGAACATGGTACCAACTTGGATTTACTATTATAACTATTATGTCCATTATTTCACTTGTCAGTGCTGTAAAATTGACTTTGTGATTCATAGAAAATGTCCAATTTTTCATTCATTGGCAAATACATAAAAGTGAACAATTTCTCTCTCTCTCCGTCTCTCTCTCCCTCTCTCCCTCTCCCTCTCTCTCTCTCTCTCTCTTTCTCTGGATATGTTGAAATTCTCAGTTTTACATTATATTCTTTATAAATAATTGTACACCGCTGTACATAAGAAAAAGATTCGAACCCTTTTGGAGTCGTAAGACCTGATTTTGAATCCTTGTTCTGCCACTTACTTGATCTTTGTGACTTTTGGCAAGCCATTTTATTTCTTTGGGTCTTGGGTTTCTTAGTTGGAAGGAATTAGATACAATGGACTTTGAGGTTCCTGTGTTTGCTGTCAGGAATACCTAGGTTAAAATTCTGCTTCTGACATACTAGCTGTGTGATTAGAGGCTTAACCCAAACATACCTCAGGTAAGCTCCTATGATTTATTTAATAAGTCATAGACAGTTGCATTTTTTCTCCTCAGCTTTTGCATTCTCTCTTTATATGTAGCATATACTAATCCTCACTTTTTTATCAAAATGACATACACAAATTAATAAAAAAATTCTTACCAAACTCCTAACTCGTGCATAATTACTTTTTTTGCTTTTTCACACCTGTTTTCCTATTTTCATAATTCTCTGACCTTTCCCTCTTTATATTTCTTAGAGCATATCTATAACAGTACAATAACTCTCCTCTAGAATGTTTATTTCTGTTTGCATTACCATCAAAGTAAAGTCTTAAAGAATATATGTGTTTCATATCAATAGATTTTGTAAGAAAAGTGCATCGAAGACATAGGCTCATTCTGTAGCCCTGATTTAAGTCCTCCAGTGGCTTTGATGATTCCTCAGAAATGTCAAGGTGACCTTCG